TGGTACTCGGACACTAGCAGCCGCACCGTACACCGTAGACGGAGTTTCTTCGTCGACCTAATCGAAAACGCTCAGTCGACCTCATCTACGACTCCGGTCTTTTCCTTGTATAAGTCGTCCGGCAGAATAGATGGGTGTTAAGGTACCATTCGCTTGTCAAGCTCTCCCCTTTTTGTGTGTGTTTCTTGCCCTGTTGTATCGATGTATCGTCAGCACTATCCGGGTGTGGGAGACGCAGACGTGGGGTTGCGAGAAGCAGGTCGAAGATCACGCGGGACCGGTCTACGCCCTCACCGTCCTGGAAGGGAAACTGGTGAGGAAAGGGGCAAGGGAGAAAGGAGGTGTCGCAGCGTGCGCGCATCCGCCGTGGCTCGCCCGCCCTTGATGAGTCTTTTTTTTGGACACCTATTTGATGATGCGTCTTGGCGTGGGTAGTAGGCTTCGTGTCGACGACGTCATGTATGATGTTCCTCGTGCGTCGTTGGTCAGCTTCGTATCGACTTCATGTATCATGAGTTCTGCTGATGCGTTCCTCACGTGTTGTTAGTCAGCTTCGTATCGACGTCATGTTTGATGTTCCTCGTGTGTCGTTCGTCGGGTCCTTGTCTACTTTGGCGTTGATCTTAGGACGTTGGTGTCGGCGTGGGTCTCGACACGGTACAGCAGTAACCCTTTTGTTCTGTTCTATTTTTCGTTGCTTTGTCATCATTCAAGGTCCCCTTTTTGGCGCTTTCGTTTTGCGAGCCGTCGGCCATACGATCTCATCGGTCGAACGGTGGTACTGCTGTACCGTGGTACCGTGTTATCCTGTACCGTGGTTCTGCTTATTTTCGCCCCGCGGTCTGAGTATGAGCATCGGTGTATCGTCTGGTTTGGTGTTGGGAGGTACCAATGCCATGGTAACGTGTGAAGATGATGACAGCAAAAAGTACAACGACAACAACAACCATAACATGCACCCGATCTTGTGTCACGGTTGATTTTGGATCGCCACAGGTGTCGGCCAGCAGCGACCACACCATCCGCGTGTGGGGTCCGGATTGGGTGTGCTGTCGGACCCTGGAGTGCTCCGGCGTGTGGTCCCTTAACGTGTTCAACGACAGGCTTGTGTCTGGCTCGCTCGACAACGCGGTTAAGGTCTGGGGGGCCTGATGATCTCTACGGCTGGCTGGCTATCGATCATGATATTTTTTGTGTCTTTTCTCTACGCAGCTGGCCATCGATCATGATCTTGATGTCTTTTCTCGACACGGCTGGCTGTCGATCATGGTCTTGATCTTGATATCTCATCTCTACGTCTGGCTATCGATCATGATCTTGATACCTCAATGTTGGCTATCGATAATAGTCTTGATATCGATGTCTCGGTGTTGGCTATCTATCATGATATCGATGTATCGATATCTCAATGTCGGCAATCTATCATGATATCGATGTATCGATATCTCAATGTCGGCTATCGATCATGATATCGATATATCGCCCGAATGCGAACGATCTATTTCGATCGAATCGTGTGGAGGAGAGTAACCTGTACCTGTAGTTCGCCGCACGATGGCGGCGGCGCATCTCTACTCAAGGCAGCGTCTACTTGTAGGCGATCCCGCGGTGTAGTGCTAAGGCGGTCATGCGTGTACAAGATAGCGTTCATTTTTTTTGTTTTTTGACGGTTGAAAAATCGTTGGAGCACCATCTCTTACGTCTCTGCCGCTCGACTCGATTGTGGCCATATTGTGTTTTTTTAGTTTTTTCTTGGGGGTTTGGATAGCGGACGGGAGGCAAAAACGCTGGCGAGGGGCTCACGCGTGACCTACGGGGAAAACTGCAAGCATCCACCGCGCGCGAGCTTAGTCCCCTGTCGTGTGGAGAGGGGATGGCCACGGCCGTATGCAGAGCGACGAACGGTGATTGGCTAGAATGATTTGTTGTTGTCGCACGGCGCAATCTGGGGGGGCGTACTCAATTGGCTCCCGAGGCAAAGGGAAGCGATGTGTTGTTTGGGGTGTCCAATCTCTGAAGGAGGGGGGGGGGGGGGG